AGCGTCTCTGTTGAAAACTTGTGAGCTTCTGTTGGATCGAAGAATCTTAGTATCTCATCCTTATCCAAATACACAAACCCAAAAACGGGATTTTGTATGATGGAGTTTGGATAGTACCTAGATATCCAACTGGGCCTGCTGTATAGAGGAGAGAGCTTCACATTTTTCTGCATTAATCTTACGACCAGCTCAAAGTCCTTATGACTGTATTACCTCACTTGCGCACGCATTACCTTCACCAGCCTTCTGAGCGATATTTGGTATGTGGACCACCTCTCCATGTAGATGTTAAGAACCTTGTGCAAGTAGATGACATCAAACACGCAGAGGTTATGAAGATCCGCATCCATGAACGTGTAGGTGTTGCCGTCTTCTCTCCTTGCAACATACTGTGTGTAGAGCACAGTCTTCTTTAACAAGGTCCTTGGTGAGATTGTCACAGGAGAAGTGATCATGTGCCGTGAGAAGACCTGCTCACGAGGCCTTGTTAACTTGGTGAAGTGGAACTTGGCGATTGACGAGGGAATATCAGTGAATTCTGGGTCATAGGGTGGCTCTGTGTCCACTACAGAGTACTTCCAAATAAGAATTTCTTCTGGGGTAGTGACGGGCTCTGTGCGAACTTTTTGCATAGGAATCTTGTTCATAGATTCAAAGATTTCAGCGACCCGTCCTCCCGTTGTAGACTCTGGCATCTTGTGTTCTTCTTCTTCCAAAATCGGCCTCTGGGTCGATCCCTCTGCAAGAATTGGCTTGACAGTTCCTTGCAGGGCATCAAACGTACCCGTAGACGTTGTTTGGACTTGTGGGAAAAGAGATGATGTGGCTTCGCCTTCTCTGTGGTGCATTGGAATTTTTCCCTTCTTCGCTAGAGCCTCTGCCAGAGATATTTTTAATGCTTTGAGGAGTTCAGGGTCATCAGCATACTCCTCTTCATTGATTTCCTTTGAGGTTTATGTGCTTGATGATGACCCCTTCTGTGAAGACTCTACAGCTATGGCCTTCCCCTTGCCTTTAGGCTCTGTAGCCTTTTTCTTGCCTTTTTCAGCTGKAGAATCCCCAATCTTGACACCTCTGGCAGGTGCTCTGGTAGTAGTCTTCTTCTTTGATTCTGGGGCCTTCTTCTTTTCCTTCTTCTTTCCCCCCTCATGACGATCATCATCACCTTCATGATCGTCATGGCTTTGTTTGGCGTCTGCCTTGCATGTAGTCAGGGGAACCCTCTTCAAATGATGCAAGATTTTTGTGGCCGCTTTGTACATTTTCTCGATCACCTTTTCAGCACCTGCAGAGGCATTCATCACATCTAGCTCTGTGGCCCATTTAAGCTTGGAGACGGTGCTGAAGATCTCTGCTCGAAGAAGGCCACCTTCCTTTACAAGCTTTGACGTGCAGTCTTTGATGAGAGCGTTTGATGCTTGGGCCTCTGTGACAAGTGCTCCGATATGGCCGGTCACAACATCCCCTAGGGCATCCACCATAGCATCCAGCTCTCTGCGAGTTGCCAAATGATTGATGTTGGCCCTTGAGGTCTTCGTGTCAAGGGCGTAGGTGACTGCAGAGGAGAACATCTCCTTGATTTCATCTCTGAATGAAGAGTAATCTGTGTAGCCTGCAGAGACGAAATCGGCTGCAAATTTGGCGGCCATCTCTGTGAGTTCTTCCTTTAGCGTCTTGATGGAGGAAGGATTTAGCATCATCGCTTGGAAGGCTTCTGCTAAGTCATCCTTTCGAAGGACAGAGCTCATAAGGGTTACCAAAGTAGTCTTCAAATCAGCAGTGGTGGCGGATAACTCCTTCAGAGCTTCTGTGAGCGGCATGAGGTCTTGTGGCGTTGAGAGCGAGATGAACAAGCTTTTCAACTCGTCCATCTTTTTGAACAATTCTGTGGCAAAGGTGTTAAGCTCCCCCTTGGTCACATAGTTGTTCTGGGAACTCGGACCACCAACACATGGTGATCCTTTGGCCTCGGAGCTTGAGGCGCCCTCAGCAGCTTGTTTTTCGTAGCCTGCTCGGGGACTTCCACCGGATCCTCGCACATCTCCTTGAGGAGAGCCTACTGGTGTTCTGTAGATCTCTTGCGCAGTAGGTTCAGAGCCTAACATTGCAGATTGATCTAGTGGAGATAGAGGGCGTTCTAGACCCTCTACCTCTATGATCCTCACCTGTGCCTCTGATGCACGTTCTGGTTGTACACTCTTGTGAGGAGAGGCAACGGATGCCTCTCYTGGTTCTGTCGAGTCCATGGGCGAAGGGACTCTTTTTGTAAAACCTTCATCCTTTTGAGAGGATGAAGGAGTATGATGTGGTTGCCCAGGTGTGCGATCCACAGAGGACGAAAGAATGTCCTCTGAGGTGTTAGGCTGGTTAGGGTTTGGCATGTGCGTGCCTGCTTCAATAGATGTTCCCTCTAGAACAGGGCCTCTAGACATGTGGATTGCACTGGGAGGTGGGCTTGGTTGTTTGCCTTCGGCATCTTTTGCTCCCTCACCTAACACTTCTGCCTCTTCTTCTTCGTCATCTAGAATGACTTATGTCCCCAACTGAGTTTCATCAATTGGCCCCTTGAACTCCTTCTGGATATTCAAAAGAACATCCTGAAGTTGTTCTGTTGGGGAGACATTGAGGACCATCTTGCGCAACCTTCTGCGTTTAGGTGTTGCTGTAGCCTCTGCTGGGCTTTCTTTTGCAATGGCCTCTGTGACCACAGGTTCTGTGATCACAGGCTCTGTCGGTTCAGCCTTCTTTGTTTTTCTTTTCTTTGGTTTTGGCAGAGGTACAATTGGACCTTCTTCCTCTACAGGTCTCTTCTTCCCTTTCGACTTCACAGAAGAGTCATCACCCTTTTGTGTCTTCTTCTTCTTGCGTGGGGGAGATGGGATTCTAGGGGGTTCCTCACTTTGCTTACCAGCCACTACTGGCTCCTCCATGCGTCCCTCCACTCTCATTTTTGCAATTTCCTCACCTAAGGGGGTACCTATTCGTGGTGGGGTTGCAGGGACCGGTTCTGGTCGCCTGTTACCACGTCTATAGGCTTTACGATCGTGGTGACTTAAATACCTGAGCATGGCCTTGGATAGGGGTCTTGGGCTTCTGTAGCCTTGCTCGTGCTCGGTAGGACGAAACTCCTTGAATGGATAGAGTTTT